CCCCCTAAAGAATTGTTTCTGCAAGACTGCCATATTTTTGATGGAATTCCTCTTTTATCGTGCAAAGTTGCGATTACTTTGATAGTCCGATGGTATATTGGCTCCTTCATTTTCTCAGGGCGGTTCTAGTAGACTCCGATTCCTTTGTCATAACAGCTATTTAGATTGAGTAGATTAGCTTACATTCAGTAGTTTCATTCAGTCAATCTCAGAATTTCCATTTTCCCAAAATGTTCATCATCATCTCCTTTGTTTGCTTCTCTTCTCTTCCATTGGTCTAACATGCAGCACGCTTAGCTAATTTGATCAGCCTCCAATGGCCAATTAGGGAACAGGAGATATGTGAGTGTTACAATCAAACCTGGCTGAAATCCTGCTCTGAAGGACGCCTGCTTCTTCTTCTCCCACTCCCCCTCCTTGTGTTCCCTCTCTTGCTGTGTCTCTCTGTCAAATAAATAAATAAAATCTTAAAAAAAAAAAAAAAGAAAGGAAAGCATAAAAATAGAATCCTACAGTGTGTTACCTTTTGTTTGGCTTTCTTCGCTTAATATCATGCCCTTGAAATCCATCCAGGTTATTGTGCTTTGTTCATGCCTTTTTATTCCTGGGCCGAATTTCTTTTCTTTTTTTTTTTTTTAAGATTTTATTTATTTGACAGAGAGACACAGTGAGAGAGGGAACACAAGCAGGGGGAGTGGGAGAGAGAGAAGCAGGCTTCCCGCCGAGCAGGGAGCCCGATGCGGGGCTCGATCCCAGGACCCTGGGATCATGACCTGAGCCGAAGGCAGACACTTAATGACTGAGCCACCCAGGTGCCCCTTCTGGGCTGAATTTCATTGTGTGGATAGGTTATAGGGTTTTTTGTTTTTGTTTTTGTTTTTTATATCTCTTCACTTATTGAAGGACATTTGGGATACATCCAGTTTGGGGTTATTACAGACAGATGCTATGAAAATTATTATACAAGTTTGTGTGTGAATTTGTTTTTATCCTCTAGGGTAAATACCCAGCAGTGGGATTGCTGAGTCATATGCTAAGTTTATGTGTAAGATGATAAGTTGCCAGAGTGTCTTCCAAAGTGGCTGGACCATTTTGTATATTCACCAGCAATGTGGGAGAGATCCATTTGCTCCACATCTCTGCCAGCACATGGTATTGTCAATATTTCAAAATTTATCCTAGTAAGTATATAGTGGTATCTCACAGTAGCTTTAATTTCCATTTCTCTGATAGCTAATGGGGGTACACATCTTTTTAAGTCCTAAAATTGAGACTTAACTTTTGTATGGCTACAGAAAATCGTATTTGGATTTTGGTAGGAATTTCATTAAACCTATAGATTAATTTGGGAAGAAATGACATCTTTACTTTGATGAATCTTACACTCAATAAATAGTTTAATTTGGTTTTCCTTGGTTTTTGTGATTATAATTTTTTATTCATCTGCATGCAGACCCTGTACACATTTTGTTAGGTGTGCACCTAAATATTTTCTTTTTTTTTTTTAAGATTTTATTTATTTATTTGACAGAGACACAGCGAGAGAGGGAACACAAGCAGGGGGGTGGGTGAGAGAGAAGCAGGCTTCCCACTGAGCAGGGACCCCAATGCGGGCCTCGATCCCGGGACTCCGGGATCACAACCTGAGCCGAAGGCAGACACTTAATGACTGAGCCACCCAGGTGCCCCAATATTTTCTTATTTTGGAGTAATTGTATATGGCATTATGTTTTTAATTTGTTTACAATTTTTCATCATTAGCATATTGAATACGATTGATTTCTGTGAGTCAGGAACTTGCATTTTGCAACTTTGCAAAACTCACTTATCAGTTCTGATAGGTTTGTTTTGGGGGGTTTTTTTTTTTTTGGTTAATTTCTTATAATTTTCTACATAAACCATCATGCCATTTGCCGACTGGGATGGTTTTGTTTCTTCCTCTCCTGTGCTTTTATTTCCTTTCCTTGCTTTATTGTGCTAGCTACACTTTTCCAGTACTATGCTGAACAAGAGTGGAGGGAATGGATTTCTATCTCCAGTTATTAAACAGTGCTTGGTGACACGTATTTGGATATTTATCTCTCGCGTCAGAGCTAATCAGCACTATGCTATCCTACTGACTTCTTTGGTGTGGCTCCAGAATCTGCCTCATGGCCGTGGTTTAGAGTAGCAATTATTAATGAGTTATAGAATATGGTATTAGATTCCTAGAGTTGCTATAAAAAGATACCAATATGCAGGAGACGCCTGGGTGGCTCAGTCGGTTAAGCATCTGCCTTCAGCTCAGGTCATGATCTCAGGGTCCTGGGATCGAGCCCCGCGTCGGCTCCCTCCTCCTCTGGAAGCCTGCTTCTCCCTCTCCCGCTCCCCCTGCTTGTGTTCCCTCTCTCGCTGTCTCTCTCTCTGTCAAATAAATAAATAAAATCTTTAAAAAAAGTAAAAAAGATACCAATATGCAGGTGGCTTAAAACAACCGAAATTTATTGCCTCACGGTTCTGGAGGCTTTAAGTACAAAATCAAGATTTCCCTCTGAAGCCTGTAGAAGAGAATACTTCCTTGCCTCTTCTGGGTTCTGTTGTTTTCCAGCCATCTCCAGCATTCTTTTGCTTGTTGATGCAAACCCAGCCTCTGTTGTCACCTGGTCATCTTCACCCTGTGTCTCTCTTTTTATAAGGACACCAATTTTACTGGATTAAGGACCCACCCTACTCCAGTATCTGAAGATAACTAATTACATCTATAATAATCCTATTTCCAAATAATGTCACATTTTGATGTAATGGAGATTAGGACTTCAACATATCTTTTTGGAGGACATAATCAAGCCATAAAAAGTGTCACTTTTTTTTTCTTCTACTGTCTCTCTTATCCCCTGAAGGATGCTACAGAATTTCAGGTGCTGTTTGTACTCGACTGTTTTGCCTTGACCGCAGGTTGACTCCTAAAGGAAGCTAAGTGACCTACACCACTCAGTTTCTCTTCCTGAAATTTTAATTTGAATTTAACAACACTAGCCTATCTCTGTTTGTTGTTTGAACTGAGGTCATTTGAACATAGTGTATGACTGCTATCATGCCGAAGCAAAGCCAGTCTTCAGAGACGGAGGAAAGAAACATGTGTCCTTTCAATGAAGAACACAGAGATGAGAGACCATGAAACTCGAAAACAGAGAGAGAATTTTTAAAAAGTGGAAAGATATATGAATCTTTGACTGCTTCATACTTCTATGTTCTAGTTCTTCAGGAAGTTCAAGACAACTCTTTTTTCTGTGTTCCATGAGTCATTTTAATGAATTACCTACTTTGTCCAAGCTGGTTAGAAGTAGCTTATTCTTACTTGCAACAAAGTGCCTGACCAAGATGCCAGGAGAAAGAGTTTCAAAAATGACAGAAAACCTCAGATATATGTTCTCCGCAAAGATGTAAATGGATGTTTTATCTGAAAACAAAAAAAAAGCCAATTGCACGGACATGGAAAAATATGTTAGTTGGAAAAAGAAATGTAGTGAAAAGAAAATTCAAAGTATAGAAAAGTGAGTTAATTGAATCGGAGTTCCGAAGTTTCCTAGAAATGAAATAATGGGATCACAGGATGTGACTAGTTTTAATGCTCTTGATTCTGTTTCAAAATTGCTATGAAGAAGATTTGAACTGATTTGTGTTTCCACAAAAATACAGGAGAATGTTTATTCCACCCTACTCAACATGGAACATTCCCCAATTTTTACACTTTTGCTAATCTTGAATTAATGTTGTGTGTTTTCCCAATAAATTGCAAGCTTTTTTGGTCTTGTCTAACAAAAATTTCTCATATTTGGGAATTGTTTCACAAATTATATTAAAATACAACAAATATACAAAAACATTGATAAAGTATACATTCACAGCCCAGTGAATATTCACCAAGTGACCACAACTCTGGAACCAGCACTAAGACCAAGAAACAGAATATTCTCAACACCTAAGGAATTCTCTCATTTACTTGTTCTGTTACTATACCATCCCCCAAACATAGCCACTCTTTAAAATCCCAGCTTTTAAAATCCCGTGCAATAAGCATCTGGCTTTTTTCCCCCAATACTATTATATTTCTGAGTCATTTATGTTTTCCATGTAGTTGTAATTCATGCATCCTTACCGAGGTATGGTGTTTCCTTATAGGAATTGCCACAATTTACTTATGTATTTTACTGTACATAGACATTGGGTTGTTTCCCTTTGTGACTCTTATGAATGGTGGTGACTTGAAATGTTTATGAATATAAATTTACTAAATTTTCTTCTTTTAAATTTCTTCCCCTGCTTTTATGCTTCAAAATTTTTCTCCATTTGGGAATTGTAAAGAGGTTCATCTATATTTTTCTAGTTATTCAAAATGATTTTATCTTAAATATTTAACTATTAAATACATATGGAATTAGTGAGTGATATGTTATGAATACAACTAATTTTGTATCCAAACATTTAAATGATTGAACCACTTGATGACTAATCCATCTCTGATCCTTGAATCTTTAGTGCAAATGTGTGATCTGGTAAAGTATTAAAAAGATCCATGTGTTTACATCTGAGCTGCCTATTAATTTTGACAATCACACTGATTTTAAACCAAATAATTAAAGTTTAATTGCAAGAATAAAATATTGTTAATGTTTAATTGATCCTAAATTTAATTGTAGATAAAGGAAAAAATACAGGGTGCCTGGGTGGTTGAGTGGGTTAAGTGTCTGCCTTTGGCTCAGGTCATGATCTCAGGGTTCTGGGATCGAGTCCTGCATTGGGCTCCCTGCCCAGCGGGGAGTCTGCTTCTCCCTCTCCTTCTGCCCCTCCTCCCTGCTCATGCTCTCTCTCTCTCTATTATAAATAAACAAAATCTTTAAAAAAAAATACACACTAAGGAAACTCTCTCAAGACATTTACAATTCGTGTTGCACACATTCTGTTTTTTTCTTTTTTATGCAGGCTACCCATGCAGACTCTCTTTCAAATAATTTAATTTGTGAAATTTCAAAGTGCTCAGCAAAATCATGGTAACTAATCTAAGCACAATTTACTCATCTTTTTTATCAATAAAATTTTATAATTAACATTTGCATAAAAAGCACAAACTTATTTGTGTATTAAAGTAAGCTTCCTGTTAGTAGAGTTTTTTATGATTCTTTTGCACTGATTCTAGTCTTCATTTAGATCCCAGATGAACTTCGAGGGAAAATCTTTCATTTTGCCTTGGAATATTCTGTCAAATCTCATTTTGCTCCACGGTCAAGTGACGTTTCCAGTCTGCAGGGGTACCTAGGAGGATAAGCACATCAACAGCAGGTAGGTGAAGAAATAGCACTAACAGGGTAAAAGTCTCCTCCAGCCACTTTAATCCTTCCTCCAAGCCAAGTTAAATATCTGTTCGTTCTCTGTGGGGTTTGACACTTCACTTTTCCTTATACAAGGATGAGCTCAGAAACAAACTTAGGACTATAATTACAGTTTTACAGTTATAGTCCACTTCCTTAACTGCTAGACTTCCACCAACCACTACCATTAAGTTATTACCTTCTAAAGTAGAAGGAAAAGCAAGACTAAAATACATAAAGAGATTAGAATTTTTAAATACATTTTACTAAATGCCAGGTGCCATCTTGGCAAGGGACATCCATCGGGTAATATAATTCTTCATACAAGCTTATAAGGTGAATATTTCTTCATTTTTAAAATGGAAAAAAAAGAGACCCAAAGATTTTCAAGTAATGAAGTCAAAGTCACAGAGGGTTCCCAGAGAAGGCACTGAGGCAGTTTTACTTCATGACGTTTGAAATGACCTGAAGCCAATTTTTAAATGAAGATTAATAATTTGGCATCTTCAGCTTTCAGATTTTCTTTTGTAAACATTATTATTGGCATTTAAGCCAGTCAGGAAACTATTAAGGACGTGAGAATTGCTTTATATCTGATCTAGTTGAGCAATGGGAAGTGAGAGTGAATGAAGGAAACTTACATTTATAAATCAGGTTCCAGTGTCAGGCTCTGCACTAAAGAACTGTTTTGTTTCCTGGGACACTTCTCGGAGCCATTTTGGTTGGGATTGTCGATTCTTCTTGGGGCCCCAATGATAGTACTAGGAGAGACATGTTGGAAGCACTCCTTATTTAGCTTAGGAGCCAAGGACTCAAGAGAAGTTTCAACGCTTTTTCTTCTATAAACCACTGACCATCACCTTTGCGCAGGAAAATTCTTTCATTTACTTGTGTCTTGACTACATCTTTTAGAATATAATCACAGTTGATTTGTGGATCAGATGCCATGTTCTGAAATGTAGCTTGTTCCACAGCAGCATCCATGTCCTCTTCACTCAGTTCTTTCTCAAAAAAACTGCTAATCTGAAGCACAGCACTTCTGAGATCCTGCAAGAATCGTAGGAGAAACTAGTTGGCGTATGAGAGAGAAATGCATGAGTTACCGCCTAACAACCTTACCACATTGTGGAAAACTGAAGGTGTGGGGGCTTATTCTAAGTCTAAAGTTTCACAAGAATGTGTTAGTTCCTTGTTCCTTCTATGAAAATGGTGGCTCTGGCTGTCAGCTTTGTTATAGCTTCCTACTGCTTTATTTTATAAGGATAGCTCATCACTCATTCGTGCAAGAAACACTTGTAGACTCTCTTATATGTTTCAGAGCTGTGCTAGGTGCTAGAGAAGTTCAAGAGAATAATAATATGCTATTTGTGCTTGTTAAGAGTTCACAATTTCATGAGGAAAGAGTAAAGCAAGTCATTAAATATAATGGGCCCAAGGAAGAAAAGCTCAGTCTAGATAGCTTTGCTGGTGATTTTTGCCAGGCATTTAAAGGAGAATTAACACCAATCCTCCTCATACTCTTCCAAAAAATTGAAGAAGAGAGTAATTCTAAAATCATTTTATAAGGCCAGCATTACCCTGATACCCAAAGCGAGACAAAGACACTGCAAGAAAAGAAATCTGATTTAGGCCACTTGAATGACAGTGCAATTTACAGGAGAAGTAGCTTTTCTTGGAGGTGGTAAATTTTATTTTGGGCATGCTTTGTTTGAAGGCCAAATATTAGACATGAAAATAGGTACATAAAAGACAGATACAATATAGATGTGCTTGAGCTGGCGATTTGGGATTCACCAACTTATTTCCCAACCTGCTCTAAGCTGGTTTACTGTGCTTCATTCCAGGCTTCATGTCACTAGATTTAATGGACATTTTAAACTCTCTTTTTCACTTGACTTTTTGGCAGCCTTAAAGATCTTAAAAAGATCTTAAAGATCTTTCTTAACCCACCTGCTTGGCTTCTATGTCATCACAAATTTCTCATTTTCTTTCTACTTCTCAGACTGTTCCTTTTCTGTTTCCTTGGTGAGCTCATCCCTCTCCACCCAAACATAGTATCCTAAGGTCTCTCAGTAATAGATTCTAGTTCCCCTTCTCTTCTCCCCTCCCCTTTTGTCCCCTTGTTCCTACTTCCTTCTCCCTTTCTTCCCTCCCTTCCCATTCTCAATTTTATCCATGTTCATAGTCTCTGGTTTTTTAAAGATGTATCTATCTATTTAAGAGAGAGAGAGAGAAAGTGGGGTTTGGGGGCTGGGGGGCAGAGGGAGAGGGAGAGAGAGAATCCCAAGCAGACTCCACACAGAGCGCAGAGACTGAAGGGCTCGATCTCACCACCTGAGCCGAAATCAAGAGTCAGATGCTTAACCAACTGCGCCCCCCTGGTGCCCCCAGAGTCTCAATTACATTCTATACAGTGATGATGCCCAAATGAATATCTTTGTTATCAGTTATATTCTATACTGTGATTATGCCCAAATTAATATCACTGATGTTTTAGCCCAGCTCTTCCTTGACCTTTACACCTGTATTTTCTATTTATTTCCAAAAGTCTTCATTTGGATACTTGATACTTCTAAGGCATCTTAAACTCCATGTGTCAAAACCAACGTGATAATCTTCTCCCTTAACCCTTATCCTGCTTCTGTGATCCCTAAACATCTTCACGAATGACACCATTATCTACACTGATAGATGAACCAGAAATATGGGAAGTGCCCTTGACACCTCTCTTCCTCATTTTTCCCAAGCATAATCCCTTTTGCTCTTTACCTCCTAAATATGTTTTAGAGCTCTGCATTCTCTTTAATCTCAATGATACCATTCTAATCCAAAACACCGTTGATTTTCAGTGGATTAGCTCACTGGTCTCTATCCTTCTTATTACTCTTCAAGGACTTACTGCTTTTAAAGATGAAAGAAATCACTATCAGTAACATATCTAAAGACCTTGCACAATCTAGCTCCCATGCAACTCTCTATCTTAATCTTTTGTCACTTCCACCTTGTTCTTTAACTTTTTCCTTCACTTCTTAAAAGATGTCTTGCACTTTAATGCTTCAGGCGATTTGCACTTTTTTTTTTTTTTGCTTAGAATTCTCTTTTACCGCTCCTCATTTTGTTAACTCATATTTGTTAACTTGTAGTTTTCACGTTACTTTTTCCAGAGAACATTGCCTATCACTTTGACTCTACCAGTTTTCTTCATTTCGTGTACTGATACTGTACCTATAGTTTTCCTTAGTAACACATATCACAGTTTGGGATTATATATACCTGCTGGTGAATACCTGTCTTCCCTGTTGAACTATTAGCTCTATAAATAAAGGGTTTAATCTTCTTTGTCTCATGATTTAGTACCTGTCGCAAGGTAGGCATTCAATAGTTTTTTAAATAAATCAATGAAGACCACACAATAGTGAACTTCAAATGTGCTTTACTTGGTTTATGGAATGTTTTAAGAGACCTTTGATTGGACGCCAACATGTAAACATTATGTAAAAAAAAAAAAGAAAGAAAGAAGGAAAGAACGAACTTGCATCATAGGGCATACATCCACCTCTGGTTAATTCAGCATATTTCAGGGGCTTGTCTGCCCAGCGCTCTGCAGTGCTTTTCTCTTGTTTAAGGTGTGGTTGCTCTAGATATTTGAGTTTGCCTTTATTGCTACAGATGGTTACTTGAAAAAGAATCATAAAAGATGATTGTGTAAAGTGCTAAGAGAACCCTGAGGAAGACGAGTAATTAAAGGATGGCAGGACATTAGAAACCCCCCAGAAAAGCCTGAGAAGTCTTTAGGTATGAAGATAACTAGAATGTAGTTCACTGAAACCAAGATAAGCAAAGGTTTCAAAGAAATAATTAAAAACAATAATAACATTTTCCTCGTTACCTTCTTCATCTCCTCATACATCATGAACAGAATATTGAAGTCATGTCTGTGCTCATACCAGCCTCTAATGTGATCAAACCAAAGGCTTCCACCCACTGTGGGGAACAATTACATGATTTTAATAGAAACCTGTCTTTCCTAAGTATGTAGAAAAGGAGCAATGCAGAATAAAGAAGCCCAAAGTACTAATTTTGAAGATTTCTTTAAGGTAAGCCCACTTCTTTTCTTTACTTCTGCCTCCTGAAAACATGTCTTTATTTCTCTTCTTGTTATCTATTTTAAGATCTCTGGGTAGCAACATTAGCTATCTATAAAGCGACAGAATCTTCTAAGTGAATGAGAGCCCTAACTCCACATTCCACGAGCCTCTTGCATCAATCTATCCTCCCTTGTAGTAGAGTGAAAATTCTATAGCTCTGATATAAGGCCTACCACGAGTCCAGGACAGAGCACATTAACTAAACTCTCCCTGAACATTAACTATTTTAAGACACATGGATCTAGCTTTGGATCTAGCTAGTTTGAACTGCTAGCCCATTTGTGGTTCTCTTATTATCCAGTCAAAATATTTCTTAAACATATGCCTTTGCAACCCTGATAATCCCCAAAGTGGTGCTAGTGAGAATGGAAAAGCCACTGAGGGAAAGATTAAGTTGACAGACACTAGTAACCACTAATGTGACTCTCACATTATTCAATTATTAACCTTCTTCATCTCTGTAAAATATGTCCCCTAAGTTTGAGAGTTTGGTTGAATGGCAACATTGCCTCATAAACATTTTGCAAGACAAAAAATTCATAGTTACCTTTTCCATCTAGAAATCTTTCCATGAAATCTTCTATGTTATCTGAATCTTCTAATACACTCAATGATTTTGAAAAATGAAAATGTGATGTCATAACATCCTTGGGGTTTCTATAGACGTAAAGGATCTGCAGGGGGAAATAATAAAAAAAATTTTTTTAAATGATTTTCTTTCTTTTTTAAAGATTTTATTTATTTATTCGACAGAGTGAGACAGCAAAAGAGGGAACACAAGCAGGGGGTGTGGGAGAGGGAGAAGCAGGCTTCCCAGGGATCAGGGAGCGGGATGCAGGGCTCGATCCCAGGACCCTGAGATCATGACCTGAGCCGAAGGCAGACGCTTAACGACTGAGCCACCCAGATGACCCATGAAATAATAAAAATTTTAACAATTCCTGGTTGTTCTTACAGGTTTTATAAAACATTTGCATAGTATTTCATTATATGAATGCATGAAAATTTATTTCATCCTGTTTATTATTCATTAAAATTTAGGTTGTTCCCAATATTTGGCAATACGAAGACTGTTGCAATAGCTAACTTTATTCACAAGTCATTTCACATGTGCAAGCTTATAGGACTAACTTCCAAAAGTGAAATTACTTATTTGTAAGGTTGGTTAAGATTACAAATTACCCTGCATAGAAGCTGTTTCAATTTACCCTCTGTGCGCATTAAGTAACATTTGATATACAACCATTAGATAGCATTAAAGATCAGTGAAAAAAGGAAAAATCAACGGATGACATTGAAAAAAATAATTTACACATAGAAAAAAGAAAAGAAAATAGATTTCAACTTCACACCATACACAAAGGTCATTTACAAATGGATTAGAATCTAAATATGAGAGCAAAACTTTAACATCTAAAAAGTAAATAATACATTACTGGGCTTGGAGAAGAGAAAGATGTTCTAAACAGGAAAAACTTATTTAAAATAAAAATTGATGAATTGGACTACATTAAATTTAAGAATGCTGTTAAAATATACCATAAAGTTGCAAAAGCAATGAGAGAAGCAACACACACAACTAATACTAGATTAGTATCCAGAATATATATAAAACGAATAAGAAAAACACAACGAGTTACAAACTGGGCACACGTCATAATTATTCCACAGAGTAAGGAATAATTATGGTCAACAAATCTATCAAAAAGTGCTTAATCTCATTAATAATTAAGGAAATGCAAATTAAGATCGGTTTGAGAAACCATTTTATAATTGCCATATGGATAAAAATTAAGAAGTCTGATAGAAAAACTTACTAGGAGAAAAATAAGAACTGACCAGTAAAAATATTACTGCTGTTAGCGTAAGCTGGTACAACTGCTTTTTATTTAAAAAATAGCAGCATCTTATGAAGTTGAACATTTTTTTAACTTTGTGGCTTTGCAATTCTATTCTTGGGTGTATGCTCTAGGTAAACTTGTGCAGATATACACCAGGGAACATGATCAAGAATGTTCATAGCAACACGTGTTAGAAGAACAAAATATTGCCATGACCTAGTTATTCAATGAAGAGAAAGCATAGATCTGATAGAATTACTTACACAACTTGTAAAACTATACCGCTTTGAAAAATGATATTGAAAATCAAGAAAAACACAGGCACATGGACAAACCCCATGGAAAAAGAATACAAATGAAAATATGAAGTTAGGTAAAATTTAAAGCCAAGTGATTTAACAGAACAACATATAATTTGTTTGCAGTGAACAACAGAACAGGAATCTTTGTATACTGAATAATATAATAGAAAAATTTAAAATGGCACAGATTCTAATAAGTCTATAAAGATTTTGATTTAGCAACAATCATAGTGGGAGATTTATACACACTTACTTTAGACATGAAGATAAAAGGATTCACAACTAACCTACAAAATTATTTAACAAAATGTATTTTATATGTGTGTGTGTTAGTGCCCCACACAGAGAATATACACCATTTTCTCAGGTAGTCATGGAACATTTGAAAAATTGATCATGTAATTCACCATAAATTTAAAAAATTAGAAGTCTTATAGTACTGTTACCTATTGATAGAAGCTATAATTCTAATAATCCAATGAAGAAGTTAAAAAAGAAAATTATTATTAAACACTTGGGGAAAACATCTTCAAAATCACTTGGACCAATTAGAAAATTAAAATCAAAATGAAGATTATTTAGATATTAACAAGATTTTATCTATAGCTATACTGAAAAAGATTTTCAGACTTGTTAATTTTAGCCATTCTGACTGGTGTGAGGTGGTATCTCGTTGAGGTTTTGATTTGGATTTCCCTCATGCCAAGGGATGTTGAGCACTTTTTCATGTGTCTGTTGGCCATTTGGATATCTTCTTTGCAGAAATGTCTGTTCATGTCTTCTGCCCATTTCTTGATTGGATCATTTGTTCTTTGGGTGTTGAGTTTGATAAGTTCTTTATAGATTTTGGATACAAGCCCTTTATCTGATATGTCATTTGCAAATATCTTCTCCCATTCTGTCGGTTGTCTTTTGGCTTTGTTGACTGTTTCCTTTGCTGTGCAAAAGGTTTTTATCTTGTTGAAGTCCCAACAGTTCATTTTTGCCCTTGCTTCCCTTGCCTTTGACAACGTTTCTAGGAAGAAGTTGCCGCGGCTGAGGTCGAGGAGGTTGCTGCCTGTGTTCTTCTCAAGGATTCTGATGGATTCCTGTCTCACATTTAGGTCTTTCACCCATTTTGAGTCTATTTTTGTGTGTGGTGTGAGGAAATGGTCCAGTTTCATTCTTCTGCATGTCTCTGTCCAATTTTCTTTACACCATTTGTTGAAGAGACTGTCTTTTTTCCATTGGATCTTCTTTCCTGCTCTGTCAAAGATCAGTTGACCATAGAGTTGAGGGCCCACTTCTGGGTTCCTATTCTGTTCCATTGATCTATGTGTCTGTTTTTGTGCCGGTACCATGCTGTCTTGATGATGACAGCTTTGTAATAGAGCTTGAAGTCCGGAATTGTGATGCCACCAGCTTTGCTTTTCTTTTTCAACATTCCTCTGGCTATTCGGGGTCTTTTCTGGTTCAATACAAATTGTAGGATTATTTGTTCCAGCTCTGTAAAAAAAAGTTGATGGTGTTTTGACAAGGATGGCATTATATGTGTAGATTGTTCTAGGTAGCATAGACATTTTAACAATATTTGTTCTTCCAGGACATGAACATGGAACGTTTTTCCATTTCTTTGTGTCTTCCTCAATTTCTCTCATGAATGTTCTGTAGTTTTCTGAGTACAGATCCTTTGCTCCTCTGTTAGGTTCATTCCTAAGTATCTTATGGTTTTTGGCACAATTGTACATGGGATCGACTCCTCCATTTCTCTTTCTTCGGTCTCATTATTAGTGTATAGAAATGCAACTGATTTCTTGCATTGATTTATATCCTGCCTCTTTACTGAATTCCTGTATGATTTCTAACAATTTTGGGGTGGAGTCTTCTGGGTTTTCCACATAGTGTATCATGTCATCTGAGAAGAATGAGAGTTTGAATCTTTGCCGATTCAGATGCTTTTTCTTTTTGTTGTCTGATTACTGAGGTTAGGACTTCCAGTTTTAATGAAGAAAGGATGCTATTCTTTGTCAAATGCTTTTCTGCATCTATTGAGAGAATCATATGGTTCTTGTCCTTTCTTTTATTAATGTAGTATATCACATTGATTTATTTGTGGATGTTGAACCACGCTAGAGGCCCAGAATTTGTCATGGCGAATAATCCTTTTAATGTACTGTTGGATCCTATTGGCTAGTATCTTGGTGAGAATTTTTGCATCCATGTTCATCAGGGATCCTAGTCTGTAATTCTCCTTTTTGTGGGGGTCTTTGTCTGGTTTTGGCATCAAGGTAATGTTGGCCTTATAGAAAGAGTTTGGTGGGGGGGGGGAGGGTCCTTCCATTTTTATTTTTAAAACTGCTTCAAAAGCATAGGTATTAATTCTTCTTTAAATGTTTGGAAGAATTCCCCTGGGAAGCCATTCAGCCCTGGGCTTTTGTTTGTTGGGAGATTTTTTATTATTCCTTCAATTTCCTTACTGGTTATGGGTCCATTCAGGTTTTCTATTTCTTCCTGGTTCAGTTTTGGTAGTTTTTATGTCTCTAGAAATGCATCCATTTCTTCCAGATTGCCTAATTTTGGGCGTATAGTTGCTCATGATATGTTTTTACAATTGTTTGTATTTCTTTGGTGTTGGTTGTGATCTCTCCTCTTTCATTCATGATTTTAGTTATTTGGGTCCTTTCTCTTTTTTTTTAAATAAAACTGGCCAGGGGTTTATCAATCTTATTAATTCTTTCAAAGAACCCGCTCCTAGTTTTGTTGATCTGTGCCACTGTTCTTTTGGTTTCTATTTCACTGATTTCTGCTCTAATCTTTATTCATTCTCTTCTCCTGCTGGGTATAGGCTTTCTCCAGCTGTTCTTTCTCCAGTTCCTTTAGGTGTAAGATTAGGTTGTATATTTGACACCTTTCTTGTTTCTTGAGAAAGACTTGTAGTGCTATATACTTCCCTCATAGGACTGTCTCTCCTGCATCCCAAAGGTTTTGAACAGTTGTATTTTCATTTTCATTTGTTTCCATGAATTTCATTCTTCTTTAATTTCCTGGTTGACCCATTCATTCTTTAGTAGGATGCTCTTTAGCCTCCATGTATTTGAGTTCTTTCCAAATTTCCTCTTGTGGTTGAGTTCAAGTTTCAAGGTATTGTGGTCTGAAAATATGCAGGGAATAATCCCAGTCTTTTGCTACTGGTTGAGACCTGATCTGTGACTCAGTATGTGATCTGTTCTGGAGAATGTTCCATGTGCGCTTGTTTGAGGATGGAATGTTCTGAATATATCTGTGAAGTCCATCTGGACCACTATGTCATCAGTTGATCTTATTTCCTTGTTGATCTTCAGCTTAGGGGATCTGTCCATTGCAGTGAGGGGGTTGTTAAAGTCCCATACTGTTATTGTATTATTATCAATGTGTTTATTTAATTTCCTTATTAATTGGCTTATATAATTGGCCGCTCCCATGTTAGGGGTATAAATATTTACAATTGTTAGATCTACTTGTTGGATAGACCCTTTAATTATGATATAGTGTCCTTGCTCATCTTTTATTATAGTCTCTGGTTTAAAATCTAATTTGTCTGACATAAGGATTGCTACCCCAGCTTTCTTTTGATGTCCATTAGCATGATAAATTGTTTTCCACCCCCCCACTTTCAATCTGGAGGTGTCTTTGTGTCTAAAATATGTCTCTTGCAGATAGCGTATCAATGGGTCTTGCCTTTTTATCCAATCTGATACCCTGTGTCTTTTGATTGGGGCATTTATGTTTTATTTTTTATTATGTTATGTTAGTCACCATACAGTACATCATTAGTTTTTGATGTACTGTTCCATGATTCATTGTTTGTGTATAACACCCAGTGCTCCATGCAATATGTGCCCTCCTTAATACCCATCACTGGGCTAACCCATCCCCCTACCCCCCTCCCCTCTAAAACCCTCAGTTTGTTTCCTGGAGTTCATAGTCTCCCCCTCTGATTCCACCCCCTTCATTTTTCCCTTCTTTCTCCTAATGTCCTCCATGCTATTCCTTATGTTCCACAAATAAGTGAAACCATATGATAATTGACTTTCTCTGCTTGACTTATTTCACTTAGCATGATTGGGGTATTCAGCCTATTTACACTAACTATTTTTTTTTTCAAAGATTTTGTTTATTTATTTGAGAGAGAGCGTGAGCACAAGCAGGGGTAGGGGCAGAGGGAGAGGGAGAAGCAGGCTTCCTGCTGAGCAGGGAGCCTGATGCGGGACTCGATCCCAGGACCCTGGGATCACCACCTGAGCTGAAGGCAGACGCTTAACTGACTGAGTCACCCGGGCGCCCCTCAGAGTAACTATTGAAAGATATGAATTGAGTGCCATTGTATCACCTGTAAAGTGACTGTTATTGTATATTGTCTCTGTTCGTTTCTGGTCTATGTTACTTTTGGGCTCTCTAGAGGATCCCCTTTAATATTTCTTGTAGGGCTGGTTTGGCGATCACAAATTCTTTTAGTTTCTGTTTGTCCTGGAAGCTTTTTATCACTCCTATTTTGAATGACATCCTGGCTGGATAAAGTATTCTTCGCTGCATATTTTTCTCATTTTGCACCCTGAATATATCATGCCAGTCCTTTCTAGCCTGCCAGGTCTCTGTGGATAGGTCTGCTGTCAATCTAATGTTTCTACCCTTATGAGTTACAGATCTTTTCTCCTGAGCTGCTTTCAGGATTTTCTCTTTGTCTCTGAGATTTGCAAGTTGGGGTGTTGACCTATTTAAATTGATTTTGAGGGGGTTCTCTGTGCCTCCTGGATTTTGATGCCTGTTTCCTTCCCAGATCAGGAAAGTTCTCCACTATAATTTGCTCCAATATACCTTCTGCCCCCCCTCTCTCTTTCCTCTTCTTCTGGGATCCCAATTATTCTAATATTGTTTTGCTTTATGGTATCATTTATCTCTCAAATTCTCCCCTCATGATCCAGTAATTGTTTCTCGCTCTTTCTCTCAGCTTCTTATTCTCCATCATTTTGTCTTCTATATCACTAATTCTCTCTTCTGCCTCATTTATCTTAGCAGTTAGAGCCTCCATTTTTTATTGCATCTCATCAATAGCGTTTTTCATTGTGACTTGATTGTATTTTAGTTCTTTTATTTCTCCAGAAAGGGACTCTCTAGTGTCCTCTATGCTTTTTTCAAGCCCAGCCTGTATCTTTATAATCATTACTTTGAACTCTAGTTCTGATATCTTACTTATATCCATACTGACTAGGTCCCTGGCAACCAGTACTGCCTCTTGTTCTCTTGTTTGAGGTGAGTTTTTCCATCTTGTCATTCTGTCCGGAGAAGAACAGATGGATGGGAGAATAAAATACTAAAATGGCAACAGCAAGTACCCCAGAGAAACATACACTAAACAAATCAGAAGAGACAGAAACTGAAAAAAAAAATTTTTAATTAAAAAAAAAAAAAAGAATATTATCAGAGAGGTGAACCAAACAGAGCAATACACTGGATCCTATGTGTATTTTGGTCTGTTTGTTAGAAAACTAGATCCCAAAATTATAAAGAAAGAAAAACTTATATATGTGCAAAAGTAAAATTAAATAGGTGAAAGGATAGAATGCAACTGTAAAACCAAAAATTAGAAGTAAAAAAAAAAAAAAGAAGGAATATAAACAGACAGGTGAACAGAACAGAGCAATACACTAAATCCTGGGTGTACTTTTGTCTCTTAGAAGAAACTGCATCCCAAAATTATAAAGAAAGAAAAACTTAGGTATATACAAAAATAAAATTAAATACATTGAAAGGATAGAATGTAAGTGTAAAAATGAAAATGAAAAAAGACTTAAAAGAGTTGATAAAATAAGAAATTGGTTGAAAAAGGAAAGAGAAAAAAATTAAAATTGAAAGACTAAAGAATCATGGGCAAAAAACCCCAAGAATTCTATATACAATATATTTTGCCCTAGTGCTGGAGGTTTGCAGTTCTGTGTGATACATAAACTTGGTCTTAGCTGGGAGTTCTTGCTGATCTTCTGGGGGAGGGGCCTGTTGTGCTGATTCTCAGGTGTCTTTGCTCCCCCCCGCCACCCCGCAACAGCACTGCCCTTGCCAGGGGCCAGGCTAAGTAAGCAGCTCGGATTGGTCTTTGTGGCTTTTGTTCCCTGAAGGATCTCCATGTGCAGCTTTAGTGGATGAGAATGAAATGGCAGCCTCACAATCTCCAGCTCTAGAGCCAAGATCTTGGGGCCACACTCCTCAGTGAGCCCTCAGGGAAAAGCAGCAATCACTCCTGTCTCCCTGTTCTCTGTCTGCTCTCCATGCTCCCCCAGCCTGTGAACCAGCATTTCTATCTCAGACAGGCAACCCCATTTCAAGT